GATCGAAGCTACAGGTACTGTATAACCTGAGGTCATTTGCTTATTTATTTGCACAACTTGCCCTTGCATGAACTGGCAATTGTATTTACATTACCAAGACACATTATCCATCTTGTCGTTTGGGTTAAATTTACTTTCGTTCAATTGTCAAGTGGGATATTTTTTGTGAGGCTAAATAAAGTGCAGCACAATGTACAATTCCACGATAAGGCAAGGAAAAAAGTCACTTGAGAAAGGTGAGGTCGCGAACAATGAGAGCGCAGCCCTAAATTCAATAGTTTGAGCGATCTGTTTGCCTGCCATCAACTTGGCTCACTCTTCCGCTGCGGTCTGTAAGCACAGAGGTATATTGTAAAACTGCCGTGGGCTTCTTGAGAGCCAAACCAAAGGTCAACCGAATAATGATGCACCTTGTGGTGCAGGTTATCGGCAATAATAATAACTGATAAACCAAGAAAGCCAGGAAAGCCTCCATGAGCCTTCAATTCCCTTTCGTGGGCATGCTGTGCGTACCATGTTGGGCCGATAGATTTTAAATATCCAGGGTTGAGCCTGGATATTGTTTGGATGGTTGACTACCATGCACAACATGTCGCTATAGGTTGCAGAACTATATCGTGGGCAGCAAGTGGCAGTGCAGCAAAGTCAGTTGTTGCTCCCTACTTCTATGCTACTACGTCTATGCTCCTAGTATTTAGCCCACACTGGCCAACATGGTGACGTTTGGTCAAAGAGCCCCCCACCAATCCCCTACAATGTGTATATGTGTGTGGCAGCCCTTTATCCAGCAGTGAATTGACAAAGGGCTGTACACGTAGGCATGCACCTTGTAAAGATAAACTGTCATGCCTGGAGGAAACCCACGTGTACAACACGAGGATACGTAAACCTCCACACAGGTCGGCCACATACCTGCTGGCCATACTGCCACTATAGAAATTTCACTGACCAATGGGTGAGCAATTGACTGCGCACATCGTCATAACGTTCCTTGCTAGAACGACTGAGCAGTTAATTTTGCTGCGTGATTCACCAAACCAAACTCAAAGTCGGTGGATTAAAGGTGTGTGCCACCAGAACCGGTAAAAACAAACGTTAAACGTTGCCTTCTGCGCTGGCACGGTGCCGCTGTACGAACGTGTACACAGATTACTGGGGCAGGTGCGGCATTTTTAAGTCTCTTCAGAGGGCAGGTGCATCCAAAACTCTTCACGGAACACTGACAAAGATGAAGGGGCGTACGAAAACCCTTTGGCAGAAATTTCTAAGACTGACATTTGGCTGCTTTGCTTGGGCGTGAAGCTAGGTCAAGACACAGGGCCCTCTCTGCTTGAGAAATCGCTTTCCGTTACTCTTCACAATGCCTTCACTTGCGAAATATGCGCAGGGCACGGCCTGAGGATCGGCGTGTGGGATACGATGTGCCCATTCTGGCTCGTAGGATGAACCCTTGGGTTGCAGATGGATTCTGAGGTTTTTGAACAGTTAAGGCTTTGTTATATGAGGCTGCGTGGAAACTGTATTTTGAGTATTAACAGCAACATGAGTAGCATTGCATCTATTGGGCTGGATTTCTTTTCTCCTCCAGTTTTATTCCAATTGTGTTATTGACATCATGTCCATTCGAAACTCTCTCGGCAGCAAAATCTCATTTCTTAGAGAACGGCCCTTGAAAGGAGATATTACAGAACAATTTCTGAGGTCCCATCAAGTTATCTTTACATTCACACACAATGGGGGTGTGTACTTTCTCACACACACCCAGCCGTTGAGTTGTTTTTTGCACGGTAGTCAAACCAACTTTCATTTTTTTTCTCTCAAGACCTGGGATTTAGCCAAATTAGTTGTAAAAAAACGAATTAAACTGATCAGTTTTTTTGTGTGTGTTTGTCATTAATTCGCGAGCAGAGACCATCTTCTGGCAACGCTTGAGTAGCCAGGTGACTGAAACACGGATTTTAGCTCAGAATCCCGACGGTGCTGGCTCAGTGGTCTGACTCCTGGGTCACCTGGCTGTCTTTTTTTTCCACTAAAAATCTAAGCTGGTCACTCGCTGCACAGAGCACACAGCTCCCAGGGAACTTGACGGGTTGCATTCTCACTGCCGGCTTAAATCCACAATTTCAAATCAGAAAGGGCATTGCAAAGGAGAAGAAACATAACATTCTACATTAAAACCATATTTAAATAATCTGCCATGAAATTTGTATCATTTTCTCCAAAAGATGCTTCATTTTTGCCAACCAGTGGCAGTTTTTCTCTTCCAGGGACTTGCATTTATAAGACTGCGGGGCAGCTCCAAATGCGACATATGCAACACTCGAAGCTGCACACAGCCACGGAGCAGTTTTGCACTTGGCTGCTGCACAGACTGGAGCAGCTCGTGATATCCAAGCTGCAAAACAAGCTACCGTGCAGCTTGGCGTGACGACCTTTATAAAGTGAAGTCAGGAAGCCCTGTGTTAATGAGTCGGACTCATTCTGAGACACCGGTCACGGGATGCCATGCAGCGATTTAGTGCCACTGCTGGCTCAGGCAGCGCTGACTTGTGACCCTGAGAGAAGGGTTTCATTCTGCAAAACAGCCCACACGGCCCCGGGGCCCCAGAGCGTCTTGCTCACCGTGTCATGGGAAAGTTGTTAGTTTGCTTTTGCAGGCGGGAGATGAATCTCTTTCTCTCTCTCTTCTCCCTCCGCTCTTTTTTTTTTTTGGAGCGAGCGTCAACTCTTAGCTAAGTCACACATTTCCAGTGACCCTTACCGAGAGAGTTTGTGAATTTCTTATTTTCCCAGCGATGGGGACCAAGAGGGGAATTCCAAACAGCCTGGGAAAACTTTTTTTTTCAAGCGCATTTTTTTTGGAAGATTGCGTGATAAGCCGATTGCAGAATCTACGTTTGGGCGATAAACACTAAATGTGCCACCGACGCCGATATCATTAAGAACATTTGTACTGTTGATTCGCGTTTATCGAAAATATGAGGCTGAATTTTTATCTCAATACATTAATGCAACTTAAAGTGCAGTATTTTATTTTATAACTTTAACTTCAAACGCAAGTCTCCATACATAGTCTGTAATAACAAGCATGTACAAGCGCAGCCTTGCTGGCAGTGCCACTGAATAGAATAAAATAACAAGCCATAAATTAATATCAAGGGGATTACACAAGGTGGCATTTAGCGAGTGCTCGTAGTTTCAGACGTGCTGTTTTATGCAGGTGTACCGTTAACTGTGGGAAAGCTAACTGTTATTCCACCTATCTGTCAGCATGCCAAGCAGTCGAGCGGAAAGATATTTGCACACCGTACAGTTAGAATGAACAACATCATAAAAGGTAACCCACCCAACCTGGGTGGGTCATCCCTACCATCACGTCTGTCTGCACGGTGTAACGGTCGGACTTGGGGTGCACTTCCCATATCGGCGGCAATATTGTCAGCGCGGGCGCCTTTCAACCCTGACGAAGTCCCTCTGTCGTTTCCTCCGTGTACATGTCTGCGGGAGAGGGGGTGCGTTTGAAGTCAGGAGGGGCCCATGTGTCGATATCTGCAACGTCCCACGGATTCCGCAATAAATCAATTGGCCTCTGTAATTGCCCACCTGACCGATACATTTTTTTGTTTGTTTGTTTGTTCTGCTGGCTTTGGCGAGAGCAAACCCGATGGCTTGTAAGAGATCACAGCGGTATTGCACCAGGACATGGGAATGTAAAATGAATGTAAACGTTTTATCTGAGTCTACATCACGGTCTATTGAGGTGCATGGGAAAATGGGAAATGCTCTTTTGATCACAACATCCCAACTCGTTTAAACAAAAATTCTCCATTTTGCATTTTTTTCTGTTTTGTCTTCTGAAGCCACTTGACGCTGTTCTGTTTGAATGCTGATAATGTTTTTTTTTACCCACTTCAGCAATTGTTTCTTGCTGTGGTCGTCCCACCTGATGACGGACGCTTGTGTTGCGCCCGAAACGTGATTTTATTTTATTTTCTACCTACGTGACTTTACCGAAAGAACCAAAGAGTATATAGTGCTGATAATATCCCTGACAGCGGCCTTTGGAAAAGCAATGCAAAGCCAACACCCACGAAAGTTTGTTCCAAATGACCACTCATTTTTTAATTATGCATATTCTCATTAGAGCTTGTACAATTAGAGTTACGGAAATCAAATAGTTGTTTATTTTACTGTAAATATATCCCTTTTTGTGACTTCCAGCAACTTTTAAACTTTAGCTGAAAATGTATTAAATTATTTTTTAAACGCATGTACATTTCTTTTTTTTATAAAGGTATATTGTGAACATTATTTTTGCAAAAGTGTAATTTTAAACGCGAAAACAACGTGTGATACTGCATGGGCTCTTGGTCCACAAGCGGAAATAAGAAACTAAACACATTCAGACAATAGCGCTGCCCTAAGGGGAAAAAAAATATAGAGTAGGTGATGCATCTCCCTATCGGACAGCTCGCAAGAACCGTCAAAGACAGCCCTGTGGTGTAGAATAGACCTGTCTCAAAGCCAACCCTCGGAGGCTAAAAACAGAACGGGGATGCTTCCTAAATAATACGATTGGTGCCCAATATAACCAACTAACTACATTTTAATTTTACCAGGTAAGGCCTACTGATCGATAAAGCTCTCTTTTTTCTTAGAAGCAACCTGGCCACAAATTATACCTCAACAAAGTGGCTTATCACGTGGAAATCTATCGTGGCTAAATACTCTAAACGCACGTTTCTAAATGTGGAGGGAAAAACCGGAGTACCCGGAGAAAAATCCACGTGACCATGGGGAGAACATGCTATCTCCAAATATATGTTCCCCATTATATATTTTTCCCCTCTTTTGGGGTAGTATTTAAAATGCACGTTTCACACGTACACTTTTGCACACACGATTCTATTTGTACCACAGCATTTTTCCCCACTCAGAAGAGTGAACGCACGATGGCAGGAAAGGTAACGTGTCTTCGTCCTTTACTCCTGTTCCTCCAGATCGCCCGCGCGGAGAGACGGGTCATCCTCACCTGCGGCTTGCCCTACCAGACCGTACGTACGCCATGTGTTTTGCACGTGGTAGCATCGCGTCTCGTTTAACTTTAGCTCTGGTGGCCCTAAAAGTAGCGAGAGCCCATGGCTCGCAGTAAATCTCACCGACCTGACGTGTGCTGCACGAGATCGCCGCTGTGCAACACAGGTGCGCGTCCGTGGATTGCGTTCCTTTGCTGCCGCCTTCAAGCTACAATAACCTCACGTTTACAAGATTTCCAGCTTAAGGGAACCCGTTGTTAAATTCGGTGCTGGCTTTTCGGCAGCTTTTCATTGCGATAAAACCAGTCACACTTCAATCAGAGCTATGAAATCGAATGGTCCACGCTCTTTAGTCGCGATGAAATGCAAAGCGTCGCGTAACTCTTTAAGCTCCGACGTGGCCCTCGTGTGCAGTTGAAGGTCGTCAAATTGAAATTGTCCCGTGTGTCCAATTCAGCTGAGGTCGCAAGTGGGAGAGGACTGCTGTTATGTCGTCGACTGCAAGGAAAAGGCCAAGGATCAAGCGAAGGACGTCCTGAGGCACTTCAACGTCCAGGTCACGCCGTCCGACATCTTTAGCCGCTGCAAGGTGAATGCAATGCCCCGCACCATCGGCACGAGCTTTGTCCAACTACTGTTATCGCTGCCGGTACCACAACTGCCATCCGTTTCCTCTTACAGTGGCATCACTGTCATACACAATTTCACATGCGCAACCCTTTTTGTCATTCCACTGCTGCATGATGGCCTCCCCACGCCGTCCGTTGTTTGACCGTAATTCACCGCGCTTGTCAGTGCAGATTGGTGAAGGCAGGCAGCGTAGATGTTGGAGCATGGTACAGTACAACCATGGATTTTGCTGCACTGCCGTCGGCTGACAAAGTAGTCTGGAAGCAGCCTATGACACCAGCCTTAAGAATGGGTGGTCGCCCAGCCGAATGTTGTACACGCTTATCATTAATGGGCTATTTGTAACCCTAACAGGCTGTTTGTAACAGGGTGTGCGATGACTGCAGAGACGGTATCTTTCGCGTGTCGTGCCTTTTGGTGTCGTCGTGTCTCAGGCAGCGGAGATACGACGTCTCTTTGGACGTCACAAGAGTACAGAGGTTGTTTTTACCACACTCTTCCATTTAATATGCTTCCTGTACAGCCCGTTAATAAGTTTCATGAACCCGAAAGGTGGAGGAGTCATGTTTTTGCTGGCAGGTTTTTAATAGTAGTAGCCTAGTTGACGTGCGCCTGTCAGAAAATAGTCCGGCGTATACTATTACCCAGTTTTGTAAGGCAGTAAAAAAGCAGCAGAAAAAAAACACCAAGCAGTTGACATGTCAGGAGATGCATAGCAAAGAACGCATTCCCAAAAGGGGTGCATCGGTGTCTCCTTGGAGCCTCGGCTGTCGTCTGGACAAAGTGCAAAAATATAAACGGCATGCGCCTCTCTCTCTCCCGATGGACAAGTGCGAGCTTAGAAGGGGCGCTGAGGTCAGGTGGTAAAAATTGAACCGAGCGTAAGATTCAAAAGACCTATTTCTCAGCATTTTCACACAAGGCTTATAACCTCCCGGCAAACAAATATGAAACGTGTACGCGCCGTCGTGCACGGATTTTTTTTGTTGTTTTGTCTTTCTCTCGTGTGCGGATGCAACTGGGCGCTGCATCGTATTTCCCCCAAAACACGCTAACACTTTGGACATCGGAAGCGGATATCGGCGACGGTTGTGCCGAGCCCAGCTTGGCCGCTGTCCTCGTTAGCGCAAGATAAAAACACAGGGCAGTCCCTGAAGACTCGGGAGTGTGATTAGGAGCACATGGGCTCCTCTTCCTGCTGTGGGGAGATAACCGGCTGTCCACTGTGGAAGAATGCCCTCCTCTTTAATCCCCCCCCCCCCCCCACCAATTTCCTGTTTCCTGCCCATTAATGAAGTGCCACAGAAGAGGAGATGGACTGCTTGTCAGGACGACGGGGGCACCGGGAACGGATTGGGGGAGATTTGGCAGTACGTAAGCCCGCTAACCTTATCAGGTCATGTCTTCATCATTATCCTCGGACGGCAATCTATAATTACTTGCTGGGAATTCCTCATACCGTATATACACTGGATATAAGCACACATTATCTAAGCACGTTCTTGCATGAGCAACGCGTGCTTAGATTAAACTGCTTTGGGGGGGGGGGGAAACTAGTAACTCGGTGGGCTTTACCTGATAAAATAAAAAATAGTTTACTTTTAGTTTCGTGTGATTTGCTTATCTTTCCTATACTTTGAACTCCTAACGTGTGCTTTTTGTTGTTGTAATGTTCTGACCACCCCTATTGGACATCTGTGAGAAAAATCTTCGTCGCTCATTGGATTCCTCCAGTAATACATACATCTTCTGATTCTGCAACTTCTGATAGAAGCACACTTTGTGAATATAAGCACACCTGGACATTTTCCCAAGGGGTGTGCTTATATCTGTCTTCTGCTGTTATATCATTGTACTCTTAATTTGATTCACAAGGTAGACTTTTCTTTATATTAGCATAGAGGATTGTGAAAAACGCTATGGGAAATAGCCTGCATAGCATTTAACAGTTTGGATGCATTTTTTAATCCTTTATATTAAGTTCACTTGCTTGCTTGCTTGCACGCTTACGACCGTGCAAATCTTTCGGTCGTTTTTTTTACCCACTTCCCGTGATCCAATCGAGCTGACATTTGCACAGAGACTCGTGCGTGACAATGTATTTTCGTGAAATTTTTTTTCCAAAATTTTACACTTTTTAGGGATTTTTTTTTATATGTAATTACCAATTGCTTAATGGTGGCAAGCAATCATCTGACCCATAGGTGGCAGCCATCTCAAGCCAGAGGACGAGAGGACTCTAGCCGCCACGCATATAAAGGATTTATAGTGAAAAACTTTGTTTTTACGGGTTAATTTTCTATTTTTTACAAAGTGTGCAGTTATCAGTTTGTTTATCAGTGTGTTTGTTTGTGTAGTCACTTACTCGTTTATTTGCTTTTAAACGTGCCGTGAAGTAAATAATGATTTAAAAAAGCAGCTATAATGAAGCATGAGATATTTTTCTGGCAGGAAAATTAACGTGGGCTTCCGTTTACTCCAATTAAATCAGCTAATGACCCTTTCCAGGGCTGAGGACCTTGTATTAATACAAGCAGACCACTGAGTCAACGTTGCATAAGACTTGACATTCATGATGGGAAAAAGTCCATATTACCCCCAAAAATATATATATAAGCCCTGATTTCCCACGAGGATTAAAGGAAAATCAAAGAAAAGCTGAACCACAATCACCGTAACTGAATGAATCGCATTCCACGGGATTGCTGCCACGTATTTTTGGCTAAGGGGTGCAAGTATATTTTTTATTTTGTTTATTCTGCATGGGGGGGGGGACCCCCAGGGAGCAGGAGTAGTATGCCCCGGATGGGGGGGGGGGGCATTTTGTCAAAGTCTGACGAACCGGCTGGCTGAGCGAGGCAGGGGGGGGGGGGGGCATGGTCTTTACTGTGTCTTGGATTTTGGGATTTCGCGGCCAAACGGAACGCGTTATTCCAAGCCGGAAATATGGAGCACACGTCTTGACAGGCAAAGGAAATGTAGTGAGCCTTAGATGAGCCCCTGTAAAAATAAAAAAAACTTTCTGTACCGTTAGAAGAAGTAAAAAACCTCGTACTACGTGTACGCAGTGCACAATGGCAGTACTGAAAAATTGTATGTGACGTGTAAAACTTAGTCCTCGAGTTTGTGCTCATGCTAATAGGGCATTTGGTCCATACTCCCATACTGGCACACACCACGATTTATCAGGGAGTATTTTTTTTTTTTAATAATTGACACATAAGACGCAATGCTGCTTTAAATGCAATAATAAAATAGGTCATATTTACTCCCCGTTGTCATTCAATTGCTGGATGAAGGCCGACTCGCACCTTGCGGTCATGGGATTTGTCTGATCAGTATTCAACACAACAGGTCAGCGGGATGGTGAAGGACGAGGCTTAAGACTGGTTCAGATATCGCTCGCCACTAGTCATGGCCAGGAATCAAACTGAGGTCACCGTGTTCTTAGTGCAGTGCGCTAACCACAGCGCCACCGTTGCCCCCCCAATGTTTCGCGATACAAATGTGGAGTATATCTCGTACAAAACCTTCAATTTGCTCTGTTAAACATAACACGAGCCGGTCTCCTTACTTTCTTCATTAAAACACAAACACTAGCGGAATGCAGGATTACATCTGCAAAGTGTCCTGGGGAGTTTTTTTTTTCCCCCGCTGCATTGTTTGATTTCCTGTCGAGCCAAAGTATCACGGTCAGGAATGAGTCTCTCTAGTGCTCTTCGCACCACCAACCGCAGGCTGTTTGTAACCCATGCTGAGTTTTGGCAAATTTTACTTGCTGTCTTCGATGCTGACATTAGGGGTCACTAAAGGGCATGGGAGCCGTACGTTGAGGCGCAAGACTCAGAACTGCCGCAGTGAACATGTTGTCGGGACACGCTCGCCATTCCTTTTGCGTTCTGCAATGCAAATGTATATGTCGAGTGAAATATTTGGACACGTTACTGGAATACTGAGCTCAGAGACTCATTGTGTTCGTTTTATATTTCGGAGTTGGTTTATTTAAAAAGTTCAACGCACCGTCACACAATCAGAATGTATAGACTTTGTGGTTAGAGGATAAATTTTTTTTTACATCTGCAAATGATTTATTGAATGGACAGACAACTCTAAAGCAGACAGACAGGTAATTAGCATAGTTTCTCAAAGTCCCAAGTTTACTCTGCTAACCGCTCAGGCATTGCATGAGATTGGTGTCTCCACCCATTCCTGCGTACAGACTGACTTTTGCTGCTCAGGAGAAGAAACACCCTTTGTTTTAACACCACCGCAGGCAGGCATTCACGTAGGCGTTCAACGTGGTTCAGGAGTCCAAGACTTTGCACATGTGACGTCCAGTCCGGTTGATGAGGTCCAATTCTGCTGTGTAATTTTTCAGACAAAACAAAACCTCTGGCACCATGCTTCGATTGAGTCCTCACCTGGTTAGACAAATAAACTTGACTTGACTCGCGGGTCAAAGTCATCCATTTTGTCCACTCATTGGCTGTCGCGAAGGGTAACTCGCCCAGTCGTCGTCGTCGTCGGCGGCTGTATGGGTTTCTTTGACCAAGAGAACGTCGTCCGTGTGGAGTTCGAGGAAATATCCCAGGAAGTTGCACTTGTGCCTCGATGTGCCCCCTATATTTAGATGGCACGAACATAGTTACGGCTTCACGCTGCGGTAAGTTTGGCTCTGAAAAGGACCCCCCCCCCCGGTGTTGCAATCCTGATCGGGAGGCCCTTTTCGGGAGTTCGATTGGCGGGTTGATGACATTGGTTTGTGACAAGCGCGTAACAGTGGAGACCACGGGGAGGTTGTCATCTTCACCCAGTGATGGGTAGTAACCTCTACTTTTAGTTATTCATTCATGTTACTATTTAGAGGCCAATTGAGACGATCAGTTTCTTCGCCTTCACCTTGTTTTAAATTGAGGCAGTCTTCCTTTTTAAAATGTCCCCGTGAGCAAGACGCGTAGC